GGGGGGGCAATAGGCTGACAATGTAAACCGCTTAGAGAGGGGTCTATGACAGTTTTCCATGGTCAACTCACCGAGCTATCTTGCTACGGCCAACTTGCTGTGGGAAAACGTTACACTAATATCAAACAAATAGTGGAATAGAATCATTTAAAAAAGGACGCAAAAGGAGGGAACAGAATGAAATGTGAGTGGAAAAAATTAAAAATATTTTTTACTTATTTTAAATAATTAAATAGAATTGTTAAATGGTCCCACAGCAAATTGTCCCACGGCGAGTTGGCCCATTCCATTAGGGCTGTAAAGCACTGTGAAGCATTTATATAACCCTAAGTGCTACTGCTATCTGCTTAACCACTAAGAAAAATGTTGTCAAGTTGGGTCAGTATGTGACCAACCTGGTGACTAACCTGTTTTACAAATGTTATGACTTATGAACATAGAAGGCAGGTTGTAACTCAAGCATTGCGTCTTCAAAGAGCCAAATATTCAGTGTCCTCTTTATCACAAAAAAAAAAAAAACCCTCCCTAATGCTGCTTTCTCTGTGACATACGATAACAAAAGATTTAAGAAGAAAACAAAAAAACCAAAACTCGGTACATTGCAAGGCAGCTGAAAGTGGTGATTTTATCACTAGAGGGAGCTTGGGGAAGTGCAGATTTAGGCCGATAGCAGGAAAAGCGGAGTTGGATGTACAAGTGCATTCTGAGAAGGAGGCATTTGTAAAGCCATTTTGATCTCTAAATCTTACACAGTCTAGGATTTACTAGGTAGTCCTCGGCTTATAGGTAGTTATAGTCCCCGACTTACAACCGTTCATTTAGCAACTGTCCAAAGCCACAATGTCCTGGAAAAAGTGACTTATGATCAGTTCTTGTACTTACAAGCCAACTGCAGCATTCCCCATGATCATGTAATCAAACTTCGGGAGCTTGTGGAAAATAGCATGTAATTTGCTGCTCATCTTGCCACAAAAGGCAACTCTGGACAACTTACAATAATAAAAAGAACACAGGTAGTCCTCAACTTACGACAGTTTGCCTAGTGGCCGCCTGAAGCTACAACAGCACTGAAAAAAGGGACTTGTGACATTTCACATTTATGACCATCATGGCAAGACAAGTCGTAAAATGGGGCAAAATTTTCTTAACAAGGGTCTCAGTTAGCAACAGGGATTTTCGAAGACTCCCTGTATATTATTTTAGCTTTTGTTGTGTGTCACTAGACTCCCTTGATTATAACTGAGGCGGCTGTAAAAATAGGATGAACCAGTAAAAATAAAATCAATACATCTATCAAATTCAGTAAGGACCAAGTCCCCTCCCACTCTTTACCCAAATTTTCAGAGCAATTACCTGACCCTGATGAGACCTGAGCGAGGAGAGATTTCGTTCCGGAAAGAATTGCCGATCTGAGCAGCAGCAAAAGGCAGTTTGCCCTGGTTGAATTCCAAAAGGCGTTTGAAGTTTAGAAAGATTCCCTGTGCGGTTTCTGGCCTCAAGTATCTATCAGGGGAGGGGGAGAAAATTGGAAGAAACAGAAAGCAGGGAGCTCTTAGCAGCTGATAGCAAGACAAGACAGCCCAGTTTCCCAAATGTATCTTTGTGGAAATCCCTCCTACTATGAGGAACTAATAGTTGAACAGGTAGTCCTCAAAACCTACAAGCATTTGTTTAGTGACTGCTTGAAGTTACAACAGCAATGGAAAACAATATTGACTTATGGTCAGGCATCCCCCAGAGTCACGTGATCCCAAATTCAGGCGCTTGGCAACTGGTTCACTTTTACGCCGGTTGCAATATCCCGGGGGGTCACGTGATCCCCTTTGGCGACCTTCTGACAAGCAAAGTCAACGGGGAAGCCCAGATTCATTTAACAAGCATGTTACTAACTGAACTGAAGTATTTCACTTAACAACTGTGGCAAAAAAAATGGCCGCACGATGGAGCAAAACTCACTCTACAGCTGTCTTGTTTAGCAACAAGAAATTTTGTACTCTATTGTTGGTCTTACGTTGAGGACTACCAGCAATAATAATAACTGCCCTGACAGAGCCCGGTATATTGATTCCCACTCAGTTCGCTTTGCCCTGCGCCCCTAAAAAGCAGGGTTTCTGAGACAAATGGACTTCAACTCCCAGAATTCCCCTGAACTGTCTCTAATGTGAATCCCCTGGCATTAGGTCTGCTAGATCTTCCCAGATGTGAGGAAACTACAAGGCAGAGTTTTTGTGGGCTGTCCTCCGGCACACCTTGCGGTTTCTTTTCTCTTTGGAGGGATGGGTCATCCTGTCCACCAGAATGAAGCAACGATCCCCAGATCCTCCCTCAAATAAGGAAACTCAACCAGCTGGAAGCACAAATGCAGGGACAAATTGAAATCCAGTAAAACCCGAACACCCTGTCCGTCCGTCCGTCCGTCCCCCAACCCCTTTTCCATACACCCACATACCCAGGCATGTTTCCTCCAGGGCCAATGGAGGTCTTGAACATGAGATTGAAAGATACTGGAGCGGTGAGGTCATTTCCGGTTAGGGGGGACTTCACGTTGTAATTGACAAACAGATCTGCAAGTTGCTCCTGACTGTAGTTGTCCAGCTAGCAGGAAAAAAAAACAAAGACTGTCTTATTTACCCAGGAAGATATGATCCAGTCTAATACAGGTAGTCCTTGGTTAGAGCAGTTCATTTAGTGACCGCTCGAAGTCACAACAGGACTGAAAACAAGCGGCAGGATCGTTTTTCGCAAGAGTGCCTGTCGCAGCACCCCAGTGTTCAAAACTGTGATCAAAATAAGATGCTTGGCAACTGATTCATACTCATGACGGTTGCAGTGTCCTGGTGACCTTCCGACAAGCAAAGTTGATGGGGACGCCAGGTTCAGTTAACAACCGTGGGACTAAATTAACAACGGCAGCGACTTGCTTAACAACGGTGGCAAGGAAGAGCATAAGCACGGGGCAAAAACTCACTTAAGAACCATCTGGCTCAGCAACAGAAATGTTGGGTTCAATCGTGATCGTTAAGTCAAGGACCCCTTGTATTAATTATCCCGGTTTCTCCCTTTGGAAGTCTACCTGTCCACCCTTCCTTTGAAAAGCGAGGGCCACCGAGTGCTTATTTAACTTGGCACAAAAACCACGAAGCACAGGTGGTTCCGGGAAAGACTTTTCCCAGCGAGGGAAACGCACGGCCAGGAGCAGCTCCTGCGCTGTTTCCAAACATATGCTGTGCAGGGAGCTTCAGGGGTCTCTGGGATCACAGTCACAAATTTGTGGGATACGAGGGAGCCGTTTCTGCTCGCCAGGTCACCGACTGACCTGCGTGATCACGTTCTCCATTTCCACCTTTTTCTCCGCAGGGCATTTCTTGTCTGACATCAGCTTCTGCAAGTGGGCTGCAAAAGGAGAGAAGGAAATAATGCCCATTAAGTTTTTTTTAGTTTTTTTTCCATTTTAATCAATCTATCAGAATAGAGCTGGAAGGGACTTTGGAGGTCTTCTAGTCCAACCCCCTGTTCCAGCAGGAGACCCTGTACAATTTCAGGCAACTGGCCATCTAGTCTCTTTTTAAAAAACCTCCAATGATGGAGCATCGACAACTTCTGGTGGCAACCTGTTCCACTGGTTAGTTGTTCTCCCTGTCAGGAAATTCCTCCTTAGTTCCAGGTTGCTTCTCCCCTTGGTTAGTTTCCACTGTTTCTCGTCTTGCCTTCTGGTGCTTTTGGGAAGAAACAATGGATAGAAACTAATTAAGGAGAGAAGCAACTTGGATTTACGGAGAAACTTCCTGTCAGTGAGAACGACCCTGTAATCCCTTGCACCAGGATGGAGCTGGAGCATTTACTGCCTGGATGCCCTTTCTGCCCCCTACACGGAGTTCACAGGAGAAAATGACTCGTTGTGCCCAGAGAGAAATATCTGAAGCTATCTAGGATCAAACTCACAGCCCCCTGATTGCAAGGTGAAAGCTCCCTCTCTATGGCCATGATGACGTTTCCATAGGTAATCAGGGAGCCTGCACAGATACTGAGAAGTGGTACGGTGGCTGACAAACAGACAAGCTTCTTAGATAAGAAATATCAGAGATCTTTTCCTCACGGGGCCATTCTTCAACGTGCAGGTAGTCCCTGACTTATGACGACCACTGAGCCCAAAATTCCCATTGCCAAGCAAGGCAGTTGTAAGCCGGGGACTATCTGCTGTCTTTTATCCAAAAGCCGTTTCTTTTTTTTTTCCCCCAAAGGGCAAATGAATTGTTTCTTCCCCTGAGGAAGAAGAAGAAATTTTTTGCTTCTCATCTAGGAAGCTTCATCAGTTCTGGCAGGATAGTGGGGGCAACAGAAGGATTAGTTCTGACAGGATTGGCCGGGGGGAATTTGGGGGGGGGGGGGGGGTTTGGAAGGACGGCATTTCTTTGCAGTCATCTGGTCATTAGTCTCCCTGAGTGCTCTTGAGGCCACTTGGGGGTTTATCTGTCCCCTCAGAATCGCCTGAGTCAGGATGCAAATGGGGGTGGAACTTTCTGGGGACTGCTGAAAGGAGTGCCTTGTAAAAAGGAGACAGGTATTCCCTCTCCCTCCGTTAACATAATGTTAACATAAATGGCCTCTTTTACCCCTCTTTCAAACCAGCAGTCCTTTCTGTCCAGAAAGTGGACTTTTCTGTCTTCAAAAATATTCTTCTTCCTCCTCAAGGAAAAAACAAACAAACAAAATCCAGTTGCCTCTTGAAAAAGCACCTTGGAGATAACGATGACCCAGATGACTGAAACATTATGCTGCCTTTTAATTCTTATTTGTAAGATACCAATGGTTGCTGTGGAGTGGAGGTTAGGACAAGAAGTCACAGACAGCCTTAAACATCAACGTAAACTAATCTTATGATGACATTAGACAGAGACAATGAATAACACAAAGCATACCCTTCAGGAGGTGATCAGCTCGGAAGCATTCTCCACTTTTTACATCTTTCACCATGAAGTCTGCAAATTTGTCCACATGTCCAGAGGTCCTGCAAGGGAAAAATACCAATATTACCCAAAATAGAGTGGACACTGGTAACTTAAGACCTCCATTGAGTGACAGACGCTATGACATTGTAAAATGTGACTTACAATAAGCCATCACACTTACAAATATCAGTTTCCCTACATCGTGTGGTCAAAATTCAGTCACTTGGCAACTGGCATGTGTTTATGATGTTTGCAGCGTCCCAGGATCACGACTGCCATTTGCAAAAAAACCCGCCCTAAGGATTCCGGTGAGCAAAGTCAAGGGGCGGGAGGGAAGCCCGATTTGCTTAACAACTGTGTGATTCATTTAATAACTGCGGTGATTTTAAGAACCATCCAATTCAGCAGTCTGTTTTCACAGGGGCCCATCAACGCTTCCCAAAGTCCACAAGCCTCCCAGCTGACGGCTTCAAAGGGAACCCCACCGCACCAAGGCTAGTAACAGTCCTGATCTCCAGTTCTTCCTCTCAATTGGTTTTTTTGTTTTTGAAGCCAATTAAAACTGGCTACCAGCAACGCATGTCACAGTAGTGAATTCTAAAGCTGAATTATCATTATATTTCCTTTTGGTCTGTCCGGATTCTTCCAGCATCTGACTTCACTGGGTGACTTCCGACTGCAATATTTTTGGGAAGAAGAAAACAGCTTCTCCTTTTCCACTTGATCCCTACTATATGCTTAGTTTTGTGCACTTAAATCATGTTCCCTCTCGTCCACCTCCTTTCCAGACGACGAGGCTCAAATATTACAATTTTTTCCTCCTTAGGGAAGCTGCTTCAGTCTCTGCATCATCTGAGTTAGCCTCCTCGGAACCCTCTTTAGTGTCTTTGTTGTTCCAGCGACCAAAAAGGGCACACAATATTCCAGATGCAATCACACAATTTAATTTTAGGCCAGACAGATCACGTTTTATAATAGGGAGGTTACTCCCTGAGAAAGAGAACTGGGTTTGTAGAAAGTTGCAGTAAAGGAAGATTCTTTTTTTAAAAACGTTTAAAGAGATCGAGGACTCAGAAAGCTAGCTTTTACGTGGAGAGGGTCTGTTGCTTACTTCAGGACAGCTTCGGGTGTGAGCATGGTACAATCTATCTCAAAAATCTGCTCTTCCTGGATGAAGTGCTGCCTCCAGGCTTGTATTATATTGTTCTTCAAAGCACAACCCACAGGACCAAAGTCATACAGGCCACTCACTCCTGCAAGAAACAGTGCAGGTAAACACAAATCCACAAATCCTGTTAACATCTTCTGTTCGATCTGAGAGAAGGGAGGGAGGGAGGGAGGAAAGAAAAGGAGGAAAGAGATAGAAGAGGAAGGAGGTGGGAAGAGACGAGGGGGATGAGGCAGAGGAGGAGGAGTAAATGGGAAGAAGACAAAGAAGGGAGGGAGAGAGGGAGGACAGAAAAGAGAAAGGAGGGAAGGATGAGGGAAGAGGAAGAGGAAGAGAGAAATCAGGCAGAGGAGGATTAGATGGGAGGGAGAAGACAAGGCAATCAGGCAGGAAGGAAGGGGAGGAAGGAAAGAAGGAAAAGAGAAAAGAGGAAGAGGGGAATGAGGCAGAGAAGTAGTAGATGGGAAGGAGAAGACAAAGGGAGAGAGGGAAGGAGGTAAGAAGGAAGAAAGGCAAGCAGGCACCTTTTGGAATACTAGGGAGTCAAATCAGATTTGACAAACACAAGAACACAGAATCAGATTTGACAAACACAGAACACAAAACTTGTACCTAGCCTTTAACCAGAAAGGCCTGTGCTTACTTCAAGCTACAGGTTACAGAGAATTGAGTTTCTTCTATTGTTCCTATGAAATTTTAATATTAAGCATTTATATTACCTGCATCATTCTGTCGGTGAGCAAAAAGAAAAATGTTCTGTCCCTATATGCTTCCACCTCTCTTCATGGGAGAAAGAAATCACTTTCTCTAGTACTCTTTCAGGTGAGTTCAGCAGTTCACCTTGAGGCTTTAACGCATGGTTTCATTATTTCAATGTGAATTTTTCTTTTGTTGGTTAAAGTCACACACAGGTGGCTTAGGCCAGTTTCAAACATTAAAATAAGTAATTTAAAACAAAGATTTTTTTAAAAACCGTATTTAATATTTTGCCTTCCTTTGAGCTGGACTGAGAACATTAGGATATCTATTGCTAATTAAATGTCTCATTTATATACATATTAAGTATTTTAAAAAATAAATGATACATGTTATAAAACTGACAGCTAATTACAAGGAAGAAAGTCATGCTGTGGAGAGGGACACAGTACCTCCATAAATAGAAAATGCTTGGTCGTAGAAAAATCTCCGTTTCAAGGTATCTTCCATTTTAACCCTGTCCACAATATCATCCTTAGGCTGCAGAGCCAGCTCCTAAAAAATAAAACACACAGAAGGCATGTGCACCCACCATGTGTAATTATACTTTGCCCACATGGATAGTTTGCAACATATAAAACGAGGGACGTCCAGAAAATCAACAGGGACGGAGCTGAATCTTTTGGGGGGCGGGGGGGGGGGGGGCTGGGGGTGTTCCATAAGGCAGGCATCACAGTGGAGAAAACCCATTGCCTGAAGATCCTTACAGATGTGCCATGCGTCTCCTCTGCCGGATCTCATAGAATGGGCAGTTAAAATAGGGAAAGAGTTATCCCTTATATAACCCAGACCCATGCCATAAAAAATTACCGTTTAAAAAGACTGATATATAGGCAGCGCCTGACTTACAACAGTTTGTTTAGTGAACATTCAAAGTTACAACAGCCCTGGAAAAAGGGACTTATGACCTGTTTCCACACTTACGACTGTTGCAGCACCCCCAGGGGTGCGGATCCAAAATCCAGGACGCTTGGCAACCGATTCATATTTATGACAGTTGCAGTGTCCTGGGGTTATGTGATCCCTTTTAGTGACCTGCTGAGAAGCAAAGTCATTGGGGAAGCCAGATTCGCTTAACAACCATGTTACTAGCTTCACAACTGCAGCGATTCACTTAACAAGCGTGGCAGGTAAGGTCGTAAAATGGGACAAAATCCACTTAACAAATGTCTCGCTTAGCAATAGAAATTTTAGGCTCAGTTGTGATCGTAAGTGGAGGACTACCTGTAGTTTCAGAAAAGGAGCATGGGAAACCTACTCCAAAATAGAATACCAGCCAAAGTATTACCTGATGAAGTTAGAAAACAATGACCAATGGCTGCTGCAATCCTAAATTATAAAGTTGAGCACAAGGGCCATAGGGAGCTCAGAAAATTTTGTTTCTGATGCAATTAACTTCATCTCGTTCTTCCACCTGCTACTCCAAAAACCTGGATATTAGGTCTGATATGCAGTTATCAGCATTGCCAATCTCAGCCCAAAATATAGGAGCTGTCTTATTTGTATGTATATGATTAAAATGAATGGGAGTTTAGTGTAACTGTATTTCATTAAAAATGAGGATTTTTGTGTGTGTGGCTTTGCTAGGGAACTGAGGAGAACTGTAGAGTCTTGCTGAGTATTTTATCCTGCTGATATGAAACTCTGAATTAACATTTTATGGGCGAAATTAGCAATTTATTCTGGATAAAATAAAACAGGAAGTTTGAAGACTCACCTTGGCTTCTAGGATTCTCTTCCGAGCTTTGAGTTCAGCCACAGCTTTGTCCACATCCATCTGAGGAGCCTTCTCATCCTTCAACTTTCGAACAAGCTCTCCCTAGGAAAAAAAAAATAGTTCAGAGATGAAGTTTAGACCAGGGAAACCTAGAGTTCACCTCTTGAAGGCATCAAGTTCACTCTCCTGCTCAGAACAGAAAACTAAATTCAAGGATCTGTGACCAATGGCTATCTGCCCTCTGCTGAAACACAGAACAAGCCTATAAACTTGGTGTGCGGAAGAAACTGCATAGAAAAAAAAAAAGGAAAGAAAATTAAATGCAGCAAGACAGGCAGCAAATACATTTTAAAAGTAATTTTCTAATTTCCTGAAAGACATGAAATAGAATAAAGAGCAAATCATGAAGTTGGTTTCATTTTAAGTATCAAATACAAGACCTTGTCTTGGACTTCAGAACAATCATACTTACAACGGCACTGAAAAAGGTGACTGTCACTGCTTTTCATAGTCACGACCACTGCAGTATGCTCATGGTCATGTGATCAAAATTCAGACGCTTGGCAACTGATTCATACTTATGATGGTTGCAGTATCCCAGGGTCACGTGCAACCTTCTGACAAGCAACCAGATTCATTTAACAACCGGATACTAACTTACCAACTGCGGAGATTCATTTAACAACTGTGGCAAGAAAGGCCCTAAAACTCACTTAACGAATGTCTTGCTTAACCACCGAAATTTTGGCCTCCGGCTTGAGCAGGCGGGTTGGACTAGAAGCCCTCAGTGATCCCCCCTTCCAGCTCTATTCTGATTGATTGATGATGATGGTGTTATCCATTCAGTTGTGTCAGACTCTGGGTCTCTCCACAAGGGGGCAACTCCAACTAGGACAAATCATGAACTTTAACAATACCAAGCGGGAAAGAAAGACATCTGCCAGTTCTCAAGAACTGCCTCTATTTTTAAAAGAAAGCTGCCGTTTGCGTGGCAGGAGGGAGGGAACTGAAAGGGTTTTTTTTTTTTTAAAAAAAGAGAAAATTCAGACGGTGTGGATTAAAGGAAAAGGGAAGACAAGCATGGCTATTGCAGGAAGCAGCACTGTAAATCTGCAGCGCTCTTAGTAAGAAGGGAAAGCGAAATAGAAAGCTAGGTAAAGCATATGTTAAGGGTCTTCAAACTTGGCAGCTTTAAGACTTGTGGACTTCAACTCCCAGAATTCCTGAGCTAACACGACTGGAGGAGGAATTCTGGGAGTTGAAGTCCACAAGTCTTAAAGCTGCCAAGTTTGAAGGCCCCAGCATATGTGTTTTGAAGGGACCAGAGATACTAAGATTTCTTCAAGCAGCAGAGAAAGAGGAACTGGGGTGAAAAATGGAAGGAGGGAGGGGGTCACCAGGCAACCCCTTGTTTGCATACTGATGTGGCAAATTTTAGTGCAGCTGTGTCCTATATATAACAAGCAGAAGGATCTGCCCTTTAAACATAGTCCTTTATTGCATCAGGCACCACTGCAGCACAAAAACATTAACCCATCCTGGCCACACGGATCTCTGATCAAGGATATCTCCTGGGTGGATTCAAAAGAGCTCCACTTCCTGCCCCGCTTAAACAAGAAGGATGACTTTACGCAGTGTTTCTCAACCTTGGCGACTTTGAGACGGATGGTTGGGGGAATTCTGGGAGTTGAAATCCACCCGTCTCAAAGTTGCCAAGGTTGACAACACTGCTTTAGAACAAAGGCTGAAATTGTCACTGCAGATAGTCCTCGACTTATGACCACAGTTGAGCCCCAAATTTCTGTTGTTTTGTGAGACATTTGTTAAGTGAGCTTTGCCCCATTTTACGACTTTTTTTGCCAGCGGTTGTTAAGTGAATCACTGCAGCTGATAAGTTAAGCAAATCTGGCTTGCCCATTGATTTTGCTTGCCAGGTCGCAGAAGCGATCACATGACCCTAGTGCACTGCAACCGTCATAAGTATGAACCAGTTGCCAAGCCTCTGAATTTTAATCACATCATCATGGGGATGCTGCAAAGGTCGATAACGATGAAAACGGCCATAAGTCCCATTTTTTCATTGCTGTTGTAACTTTGAACAGTCACTAAACGAACTGTTGTAACTCGAGACTGCCTGCATAAGCTTCCCCTTCATTTGACCAAGGAGCCTCTCTTGGCAATGATACATCACATTGTGATTCTCCAATTCCATCCTGGATCAGCCTGAATTTTTTTCAATTTTTTTCCCTTAACTCGGCAGACAAAAAGCAGTATTTCTATGAAAAAGCACATGGCATTCAAAGGTTAAGCCGCTGCTCATGGATGCTTTCAAACTCGGATCCTTGGGCTTTTTTTCTTCAAGCACTTCTTGTACTTCAATCAGTTTTGGGAGGTGCAGGATGATTCAGAAAAAGACAAAGCTTATTCCAATTAAGATGCTACCAATCCTGTTCCCCAAAAGACACTTTGATGCACCTCTGACTAGCTAAGCAAAAAATAAGAGGCACAAGGGAGAATTCTACAGCAGCAGAACTATCCACTTAACTAAATGTAAATCTTGAACAAACAGATCTACAGTCTTTAGTCCCCAATTTGTGACAGTTCAAACTTACAACAGCCTCGGAAAAAGTGACTTATGACCCATCCTCAATGTTATGACCCTCGCACACCACCATTCTACAGTTATGTGATTGCAATTCTGGCGCTTGGCACCCGCTTACATTTATGATGGTTACAGCATCTTTCAGTTACTGATTAGTTAGTGACCTTCCCAATCTGACAAGCAAATCAGCTGGGAAAGCCGAAATTACTTAAAGATACTGTGGTCCATTTAACAAGCATGTAAAAATGATTGTTTTAAAAAAACAAACAGGTCTAGTGACATGAAATTCCAGTCCTGATAAAGCTATAAAACAAGGGCTACCTGTATCCATTTGACTGTCAAATAAACCCAGCCTGAAAGGCTGGATAAGTTATATAAAAAGCCGATCCAAAGAAAGGAAATTTTATCCTAACAATTGGAAAGGGCCTTTTCTCTCCCAAAGAAAACCAAAGAATAGAGGCTACGTCAAGAAAATGGATGAAACACATGTGCCCCAAAACTTCCCAGACACATCTACAATCCTGGTGGTAGATTTCTGAGGTCAAACTTAGAAACTTGAGCAAAGGTCACACAGGGAGAAGCACATTATCAACATTGTCCTCCAAGCGCAAGAAGCCAAATCACGAGGATATACCCAGGAGCACCAAAAGGGACCAGTTTCGTTGGGACAAGCCAAGTTTCCATAAAAGCCATTGGATTTCCTCTTCTGGAAGTGGCACTGGCTGACCTCCTGGGGAGGTGGGAGGGCCTCAAATGACCACAAGGCATTGCAGAAATCCTGAGAAATCACAGGATAACTAGCAAACTGGGGGGGAAGGGGGATGGGGGGGGGGGAGAAAACAATGATCAGAAAGATAAGGAAGATTTGCTTCCAGCAACTATGAAGGAAGATCAATCGGATTTAATGGGTGGAGGGGCGTGAAGTTTTACCAATTGGCCAATTATACCAAAAACTAAAATGGTAATTTAAGGAGCCATAAGAGCCAGCCCCCCCCAATTATGCAAATTTGTGTTGTTTTTGTTGTTTTTAATGACAGAAGATTCAAGAAAATTCTTTGATTCAGAACCTTATTTCTCCCAAAACTCAACAGGGCAACCTTCCTCTAGCATGCATATATATGGGAGGGCATATATATATATATATATATATGCCCTCCCAGGGACGCATGCCAAGACGTCAACTCCCATCTTCCCCAGCCAACCCAGATGGGAGTTTTTGTGTAGCTCACCACAATCTTGATCGGAGGAGCCCCCTCGACATAAAAGGAAGGTGTGTGTGGGGGGGGGGGAACCCGCCTCAAGAGCTAAACTAAATTTTCTCCCCGTGAGACCCTTTGGGGGTGGACTACACTTCCCATCATCCCCACCCCCGAGGCAGCCCAAGAGATGGGGGTGGCGGGGGGAAGGGAGAGGACCCCTAGATCTGGGAAGGCCGATCTGCCGCCTTCCTCCCCGCAAGAGCGCCCATCCTCCACAGATGGGATATGTAGTCCAGCGATCGGCGGTTTTTTTTTTTTCCTCACCTGCTGCCTCACCGCCTGCCTGAGCGGCGCCAGGAGCGCTTCGGCGGCGGGTCCGTCCATGCTGGCGCCGATGCCGGGACCGGGCGGGATCGGGCGGCGAGAGCAGGGCCGGGGGCTGGCGGAAGAAGAGGAGGAGGGGCGGGCCGCGTGGAGAGAGGCGCCGGGCAGGAGGGCGGCCAGAAGGAAGGCGCTGCTGCTGCTGCTGCGGATGAGGAGGAGGCGGCCGATCGCGACGCTAAAGCGCCACGGCATGGAGGAGCGGCGCGGCCGAGGGCGGGAGGGCGGGCCGAGGCGGGCGGGCAGATGTTGCCTTCCGCATGATGAAATCGCACCCTCGTCAGCTCCGCCTCAGCCGGCGCAGGGGGCCGAGACACGCATGCGCGCCGCGCTCGGGCCGCCGCTCCCGCCCGAGGTTGCTGGGCGACGGGGCTCCCGCGTTGCCGCCCCCTCCCCTCGGCCTGCCGGGCGCGCGCGCGCGCCAGCCGCAGGAGAGGAGGCGGAGCCCGCGCTCTTGCGCACGCGCGCGGGGTTGAGGGGCGGGACGAAAAAGAGAACGGGAGAGAGAGAGAGAGAGAGAGCAAGAACAAGCAAGCCCCGCCCTCCCTCCTCTCCCTGCGCCCTCCCGCCATTAGGGGAATAGAGGTAGTCCTCGACTTACGTCCAACATTGAGTGCGCGTGCCCCACCAAACTTCTGTTGTTAAGTGAAAATCTTGTTCGTTGAGTTTTGCCCCGTTTTACGACCTTTCTTACCACAGATGTTAAGTGAATCGTTCCTGTGGTTAAATAAGGAACCCGGTTGTTAAGTGAAACCTGGTTTCCCCCTGTTGACTTTGATTGCTAGAAGGTTGCAAAAGGAGATCGTGTGACAGGTGGGGGGGGAGGGAAACGCTGCGGCTGTCATAAATAGGAGTCCATTGCCAAACGGCTGAATGTTGCTCACCGTAGCAGCCATGGGGATGCTGCAACGGTTGTAAGTGTGGAAAATGGTTTTTTTTCCACTACTGTTGTAAATTTGAACGGTCACTAAGTGAACTGCTGTAGGTCAAGGATTTACCTGTACAACCTCTGCAAAGCTTTTCGGTTTCTTATATGTGAATCAGCCACTAGGGGGCGATCACCCACCACCCTTGACTGTCCAGTTGGGAAGCGTTCTTGAAGGCCATCTAACAGAGTTTGTCAACCTTTTCTGGTTGGCAGCCCAGGGGAGGGAGAGGGGAGATGGTTTTGTGCAAGGGGCAGGCAAAGTTTCATTGTGGAGCCCCAGCACCTGCCTCTTGCCCAGGTTGTGTTGTGAGCAACACACCCTGGTTGCAAATAGACCACAACGCCTATCTAGCCCAAAACCCATCCACCCCAACGCAAGGCAGGAATCCAACCTGCAGCATTATTTATTGATTTATTTCAAGACTGATAAGGCTAACTCAACTCAAACAAGGGAGGGGAGGGGAGGGAGGAAGGGAGGAAGGAAAGGAAGGAGGAAGGAAGGAAGCAAAGAGATATGAGAGGAAGGAGAAAGAGGAAAGAAAGTTGGAAATGGGAAGGAGAAGTTTTAGGCGTTTCCTATTATTTTTTCTAAGAAAAATGAAGTGTGCACACATACAAGGGGAAAGAAAGAGAGAGAGAAAGAAAAAGAAAGAAAGAAGAAAGAAAGAAAGAAAGAAAGAAAGAAAGAAAGAAAGAA